ATTTATGGTCTATGAAAATGAAATATCAAACATTCTTAAAATTCCTACTTCCTAATACTCCTAATAATAATGTTTTTAAATGCATGCAACTCCATCCAACTTTTTTATTTAAGATATTGTACTAGCGATGCTAGCTGGTAGAAAAACCTTAGCCGGCTAAGAACTTAAATAAACCCCAGTTGATGAAAAAAATTTTCAGATGGCACTAAGCCTCCCGGTATTATTATTGCTACTATCATCGTTATTATTATTATTATTATTATTATTATTATTATTATTATTATTATTACTATTATTGACTATTGTTGCTATAATATCTTGCCTTTAATTGTTCGAATAAGGTTTATTCGAATTATTTGTTTTATTCGTTATGAATTTAGTATTTGAATTACATTGAAAGTTTATTCGAATAAAACGAATAATAATAATAATTAAAATAAGAAATTGTATTACGAAGAGAAATTCTAACTGTCTTTTATCCTGCTACGTATTATATTTGGTTTTTTGAGCAAATGTATATTTTTTTGTCATTCTAAGTAATGCAGGCGGACCATCTCAATTAAATGTTTATTCCGCTGAATCCTGCACTAAAATTCCAGACGTAAAAATGAATGTTAAGAGAAATTTTTTTTAACCGGCAAGTAGTTTATTATTACTGTATTATCTTACTCGGATCAATTTTTTGTAAGTTTTTTACGGTTATTACTCGATATGATAGCATATGTAGTTCATAGACGAGCTCATTTAGGTCATTGTGTGTAAATAGAATTTTAAAAAATTATATAAACATAGTAACAAACATCCTAACCCTGCCGATCATATATAAAATTATAAGGTTTGACCCACAAAAGTTTCGAATAATAATAATAATAATAACTGTGTAAATTAATATGCACAATCCAATTAAAAAATTTTCTTCAGTTGAATTCTTGTATTTTCTTATAATTCTAATTTTAATTTCTTATAATAAATAAGTTAATATCAAATATTGTTACATAATCTGAATATTCAAGATAAATTAAAGAATCTAATACAGATTACGAATAATATTAATATTAGCATTACGAATAATTCGAGATTGAATTGTGTTACTATCACGAATCGAGATTTGAATTGTAATACATTTATTTAATAATAGTAAATTTTTTGGGACAATATATAGTTTTCAGAGTCCTGTTTGTGTTCATATTATATTATGAAACTCGTATTTTTTTCATGAATAATAAGAGTACGAACATTATTACTGTAAATATTTTCCCCAGTTCTGGGTTTTATGGAACTGCATTGATGTTTTTAATTTATTTTTGAAACAAATAAA